TGATGGCGAATTCCTTTAATAATTTCCGGCTAGGACAAAATAGCTAGTACATAAGAGACATATAGGGTGGATGATTGATGATGCTGATCATGCCGGAATGTACTCTTGAAATCAAATGAGATTATATTCACGTGAATTTTTCCAAATTACTTCTATTTGGGTATTTTAGCCAATGTGCATATACCAGTTGTCCCGAAATTAGCCTGCCAAGCTTCACCAGAGGCTCCTACGACCAAGAATAGGTGGAAGTTTCTATAAACATGAGTGAAAACATGTCTCCTTAGGAAGCTACGGCCCTCTGAAAGGAGGCAGCTGAAGATGCTATTCCTGGATATTTCCGAAATTATTCAATCCGATTTAATGACTCAACTTTCCATGCCCAATGCAGGGAATATAGTAATATTCCAAAGTTAATTTCAGGAGTGTATAATAGAGTGTGCGACTATAAACATTAAATATTGCTCAAACCTCAATCTCAGATTATGAAAATACACACATCTTTATCGATCAGATGAATCACTTTCGAGTAAAATCACTTTAAAAAATAATTATTGTGACCTCCCACATATTATGCACCCAGTAGCCTTGTTACTGACATTACTGACATTTGACATTTGTCGAAATGATCAACATAGAAAATTAATTTCTTGTGTTAGAAAACAGGGCTTAAAATCGTGTCAGAAACTTGGAAAGGCGAACCCGTTAACGGAAAATCTTCGATGAAATCCATATTTTCGATTTAAATGCAGATTCCGTAAGTCATAGCATAAACAATGAATGCACGCGGTGTATGTTTAGTTGCCTATAAAACAATCGTGCATTAATAGACAAATCGTTCATTAGTTTTATTTATCCGATTCCGCCACCGGAATCAGTTTGATTTGTCGTTTTATTTGCAACTTTTCCGATTCCGGTTGCTACTTTCTATTCCGTCTCACTACAAGGAATGATGTGGAATGATTGTTGACAGGTGTCAAAAAATCAAATTAGATTGACGAAAAAAGAACCTTTTTGAAAGTAAATGACATTTTGAAAACATTTTCATGGTGAGTTTCACTAGTTCATGATTCATTCATGTAAGACAGGTTTCATATGTTCATTCCCAGATAAAATAAATTCTGTCGATCTCAGAGAAGTTCCTTCAATCACCACAATCACTGCTCCAAAAATTAGTTGATTCATTTTCTAGATTCTTAACTCTAGTATTATGATTTTGAAATTATTTGGATCCCCCATATACGAATAAAATCTCTTGTGTAAATTCTCTCAAGCAAGGTTATGAAGTTTCTCGTTTTTTTTTGTAAATGTCATTCTGTTCCCATCACCGCTACCAGAATGGAACAAATAAAACGAAACTATTAAGAGGGGTCATTGATGAACGATTTCATATACATTAAACTTAGTCGTTAATACGAGGTCGACGGAAAAATATATTTGGTCCTGTTTAGTACTATTATTACTGTACAAACATTCGTTTCCCAAACTGAGATAATATCCAAATTCAAAATATTCATATTCAATGCTTGCAATCAATTTTGAGTCTATATCTGTAATGACGTTATCTTAAGTTTTTGCAGTGCCTTGGGCTACTCTAGAGAAAGTATTTATGGTGAGATTGATTTTAAAAATGTTCTGTATCTTATTTTAATTTTTATTTGGATATTCCTGTTCTGAATGAATGCTCAAATGCTCACTTGAAATTGTGTTGTAGCCTTTGTACTTTTGAATCAAATCGAGAAGCAATTCATAAAGAATATTTAAAAAATATCTTCTTTTCCGTCGACCTCGTATCAACGACTAAGTTTAATGTATATGAAATCGTTCATTAATGACACCCATTAATGGACGATTTGTCTATTAATGCACGATTGTTTTATAGGCAACCAAACATACACCGCGTGCATTCATTGTTTATGCTACAACTAGCGGAATCTGCATTTAAATCGAAAATATGGATTTCATCGACAATTTTCCGTTAACGGTTTTGCCTTTCCAAGTTTCTGACACGATTTTAATCCCTGTTTTCTAACACAAGGAATTCATTTCCTATGTTGATCATTTCGACAAATGTCAAATGACACTAATGCCAGTAAAAAGGCTACTGGGTGATTCTTAGCAGTTTCCGGATGGATGATGAATTCGGGAACCAAGTTTTCTTCATTGCAGGAGAAATGAGAAATAAAGTCGACGGAAAAATTTTGTAACCAACTTGTATATTAAAAGGCGATTAATGATCTCGAACATATACGCTCTCGCTTCGCTCGCACGTTAAAATATCTCGATCATTAATCGCCCTCATTAATACACTAGTTGGTTAAATAACTATTTCCGTCGACCTCGTATTAACGACTAAGTTTAATGTATATGAAATCGTTCATTAATGACCCCTATTAATGAACGATTTGTCTATTAATGTACGATTGTTTTATAGGCAACCAAACATACACCGCGTGCATTCATTGTTTATGCTATAACTTACGGAATCTGCATTTAAATCGAAAATATGGATTTCATTGAAGATTTTCTGTTAACGGGTTCACCTTTCCAAGTTTCTGACACGATTTTAATCCCTGTTTTTTAACACAAGGAATTTATTTTCTATGTTGATCATTTCGACAAATGTCAAATGACACTAATGTCAGTGACAAGGCTACTGGGTGATTCTTAGCAGTTTCCAGATGAATGAAGAATTCGCGAACCATGTTTTCTTCATTGCAGGAGAAATGAGAAATATAGTCGACGGAAAAATTTTGTAACCAACTTGTATATTAAAAAGCGATTAATGATCTCGAACATTAACGCGCTCGCTTCGCTCGCACGTTGAAATATCTCGATCATTATTCGCCCTCATTAATACACTAGTTGGTTAAATAACTATTTATCTGATGGCATGTCATAATGACAACGTTATGTCACTCAATTCTGATGACATAAGGAAGCTCATTATGGTGATAAGTACCATAATGAAATTCTATAAGGAAAACATGTAATGGTTTGATCAAAAAAGTTTATTCAAAATGCATAACTATGTACAAAACTATTTATTATAAATGGTAAAAGAACAATTACTACAATTTGTAATATTAATATAATGGCAAAGCACAGCTCACTCACCTACTAATATTTGAAGCTACACAATACTTACTCCTTTAAAAATAGTTGTCATTGTGACATGTCCAAAATGCAGTTTTTAATTTTTCGAAAATGTATTGATATAAATGCCATCAGATAAAATTTTGTATGTAATACGAATCATAAACAATCATTATGGCACACGCCGTGTTATCGGCATTCACGACTTGTACCATAATTATCGTCTTCATGATCCTTATTATTACATAAATAACTTTATGGAGATTTTTCTTGTCAACCTGACAAGTACACCTCAAACCTCAATCTAGGATTATGAAAATACACACATCTTTATCGATCAGATGAATCACTTTCGAGTAAAATCACTTTAAAAAATAATTATTGTTACCTCCCACATATTATGCATAACATTGAAATTAACCGTATTGGATATGGAAGAAAAGCTGAAAAATTGAAGAAGTTTTTCAATATCATTTTTTCTACGCACCTCTATGAAATTGTGAATGTAACAATATTTTTGAATCGATTTCACTCGAACATGATGAATCTGATCGATTCGGAACAAGACCACGTTTTTATTATAGAGGTGTAAATTTTCATTCTGCAGACCCGACTATAATAAACAGATTTTCTTCCTTGGTACATGAATAACTTTTAAGGGATTCTGAAAATGCACACTATTATGTATACTGTATGAGCATGTCTTTTTAGTACAGCCCAAACAATCAGAGGATAAACGAGTCCCGAACGAAATTTCATTCAGTGCCGGAAGCCCGCAATGATATCAGGGCCCTGGAAATAATTTGGCACAAATACGGTTTGAACCGAGAAGCTGTTCATTGTAGCTTTCCATCATGATGGGTTCAAAGAGAATTAATTATAATTTATTCAATGAATAGAAAATCGTTTCAGTATTTGGGTTTTCACTGCTCATAGCCGAGAATGAGAACACGAACATTATAGGAATTTCCTGACGTGCGCTCCAAGAGATAAAAAAAGTGTATAACAAAATGTAACATGCTATAGGTATCCGTAATCTATCAGAATATACCAGATTTCTTTGGAACTCGCATGGGTGATATCGGTTGTAGATGTGGCCTTGTTATGTTAGGATGCATGCATTTTTATTGAAATGTCTTGCTTACTAACCTTTGTGAATAAGAAGTTTTCATCTAAAGTATAAGATAAAAACTCTTGGATTCACTGATGTATCAAAGTTTTCGATCTCTAAGGTTCGTATCCATATTCTGATTGCATTAACATCATCATTTTCATACAGAGTTCTTGGAAATATGCAATTATATACCTAGAACATTCTCTTCGATTTCACTTTCGTCTACATTTCGCATACATTTTTAAATATTTCTGATTGCAACCAAATTCCGAAATGACAGTTGATAGTTCAGTTGATAGTAGTACAATTGACAGGCCAAACAAGACAGGACTCATACGACTGAAGGTCTGTTTATAAAAAACTCTGTTGAAATGAAAATTTGTTAAAGAAATTGTGTCGACATCGTGACGTGTTCAATTTTTTGAACAAATCACAGATCATAGATCCGTGTTTAATCGATCATTTAGCTTGGTATATCTCAATACATGTGTATCAAGAAAAATTCAGATGAATTGCCTGAAATGTGACTGCCTTTGAAAATTTCTTATGTGAACTTTGAACTCGTTTCACGGACAAACGGTACATTTGGTTACCTAAATAAATTGGGTCCAATCAACTTATTGACTTGTATTATACGTGGTAGCTCTGTGTCCTAGCAATTCTGGAACACTGTATATAATTAGAAAAATAAATTTCATGAGAAACATTCCCAATGTTAGGAATATTTCCGTGTGGGCTCCCAATCACTGTTTTCGACCTGCCTAGATAGCTCACATCGACCGCGTTGTTTCAGAACCGGTAAACTGCACTACCCCACGAACGTGTGCGGCCCCCTTTTCGAGGAGGAATTGGAGTTTTGGGGGCTGGACTCCAATCAGGTGGAGCCGTGCTGCTGGAGCACGTACAGCGTCCACAGGGACACGCAGGTGAGTGACGATACGACATCTGAGGACTAGAGTCTAGGGCTAGCACCTTCTGAGGAAGCGAAGGAAACCGAACGTAGGGATGTCCTTGACTAACAATATTCCTCTAAAAGCGCGCCAATTTATTGTTTGTTTTCAACATAACTATGTGGGGATTAAAATTCTGAATCATTGATGAATATAGAGAGATCCGTATATTAATAGCAATTGGAGCATACAGAGTTGGATGTAAAATTAAAATATTTTAACTGGGCAGTAACTTGGAGATAAAAATGCTTTTTGCTGTTTGCTATAAAATTTTGATAGGTTGTTCCTTTAGACTTCTGCTGATGTTAGGCGATGTAGGTATATTTGGATCAAAAAGTTGATACAATGCCTAGTTGTTCTTGACAATGTGTGGTGTATAGGTAGGTAGTTCATAATATGCAGTGCTATATTCTTGTTGAACTGGAGATAGGTATTATCAGTGGTAATACTATGAGTACTTCAAAATATTCGGGTTGAACATCGATAACTTGATGCATAATTACAAAGAGTGTCAGTTTGACAGTTGAAATACCGCGAAGCGGTAGAATTATTATGTTGAACTGACACGATTTGTAATTATGCAGGAAGTTTTAGGGGTACATTAGTTTTAATATTGAAATTGCAAGACATCAACCAGTGGTTGAGTATCGAAAATCGAAAATCTAATGAATAAACGGAATGCCAAAAGAAAGTTCATATTATGAATCATGAATAAGAACTCCTCTCCTCCTCCTATCCTCATCATTATTTTTCTGTGAACTTCTTCAAACAATATTTCTTGGTTGGTCCTCTGGTGACAGCTTAATAACAAGCTGTGCTCCTTGTATTATTGCCTACATAGGTAAGTACATAATATATAGGTACGAAAGCTCTCGTTCGATTATCAGTATCACAAATCACATCAGATTATCAGATTAGATGATGTGAAGGATGGGTTAAAAAACAAATTCAAACAGACCTGAATAAGACTAAATTCCGTAATGAAATTTTTCATATTATGAAGTAATACAATACAAGAACGAACTTAAGTCACCTTTAATTACGAGTGGCACTGAAGAGTGAAGGCACAAGAATATTGATCGTTCTTCCCTCTTCGAAGGATTTTATCGTGTCCGCTGAGACATCAAACATCAATTGTCAGGAAGATGATCTTCGATTGCTGAGGTGTCCGCTGTCGGCGCTCGGGTAAATTCGCCTCCTCAGAAGGTGCTGGCCGTACACTCTAGTCTTCTGAGGCTGGGGAGCGAGATAAGGAGGGTCTAAAGGCAGGACGCATCAATTATTGTATTACACGCTGTCGGCCGTTGGGACACGGGCTAGCCGGCCAAATTTAGATGTACAATAGAGGACCGCTGTTATCGCTCGCTGGCAAGTTTCATTGTACCTTTAGAGGGCCGCAAAAATCATGTTTGCTGGGTGCCCACACATATAAAATTGTTTTTGAGAAGTTCATTTCGAAAAACGCGAAATAACATATATAGAGTAACAAAGAGAGAGAAACTCAAGTCATTATCATAAACTAAACAGAAATGGTAGATAACGAGAGAAAAACAACTACTACTGGCAACATGCCCCGCAAAACATTGGATTACATCCTACCAAAATCTATGCAATACTTCGTAAAATCGCAAGTGCTCCCTTTCTAAACGTCGCGCTGCGCCTAAGTGGTTCAGGAACGCGTGACTACCTGCATACCGGTTTCGAGCTGTTGGCTCTCATCAGTGCAGGGCTGTCCCAGATAGCTTCTTGACCGCTATCTGTTGCGAACCTGAACACTTCGTGAACAAATCTTCAATATCAACATCAACCACCTTTATCAACGTTGGAGTTGGTGAACCCAAGGGCAGGTAGAAAAGGTGTACCCAAACGGATATGACGTCACGGTGAACATGATGAAATGGGATTATTGGCTCTAACCATGACGGTTACTGTGAATTAAATATCCCTATTCAGTCTGTAAATGAGTGTCTATACAATATAAGATTAATACTCATGAATAAAAACAAAAAAATTAAGTGTGCGCCTTTGGAGGAATACCATTATTAGATAAGAGAATTATTTCGTTCTGGTGAATTCGACAGCTCAGATGGCTCACCCTACGACCCTACAGTCTAGACCCTACTAATTTTATTGGACTAATGAAATTAGATGACGGTATAATGCGAAGTTACAGACAACGGAAGAAAGGTAATATAAAATATAGGTAATATCGTGGTTGGATCGTCGGCAACAAACTAGCAGTGAAAATAGAATTGAAAAGAATTTATTTCAGTACGGTATATATAGGGTGTTTCACAACAAGTAGCGACAATTGCATATTTCAAAACAAGACTCAGTCAATTGTTTTTTTTTTCAAATCGAAAGCTTTATATAACATAAACCTATTGGTAGGATACATTATTTTACAATTTGCATCTTCCATATACTACATACTAGGACTGTGCAAAAATATCGATATATCGATATAATAAGTCGATATATCGAATAACGATATCATTAGGAGAATATATCGATAAATCGATTGATATCGATACATATCGATGAGTGTGTTCGGATAGGTTTCCATGGTCAGGAATTTTCAAACTAGGAGTTTGGGTTCAACAGGATCAACCCGAATTCCTAGTTTTCACATATCTCGAGAAATATTGATAGCAAAAGCATACACCGATATCGATATCAAGTTTTCAATATGCACTTCTACATATAGGGGTGTTCCTCGAGGCATATTACCTCCAGAAATTCAAGAAGAACACCAATTCCTACTATATTTCCCTTGGTTCTCACGATGTTCTCTGAACATTACAGGATATCTCTTTCCGTGAGAACCAGAACATAAAAAAAACGAAAAAGAATACTGTAACAAATGAGCAATTGATCTGAAATCTCGCCCGCTTTCTCTTTCTCTATCTTTCCACCTCTCTCTTTCTCTCCCTCTCTTTTTATATCTCTTCCTCCTACTCCTCATATCTTTCTCACTCCTAATGAGCATTGAACAACATTTCAATTGGATTGATCATCAACAGGTACGTGCTCTGCCATCAATGCATTTCGATGTATAGATCTCATGAGCGTTCGAGCTGACCTAACATCTGAAAAACCATTCTGAGTGCAATTCAATTATTTCAAACTCTATAGCCACTCTGCTTTGCTTAAATCCTTCAATAATATAGGCGACAAAAGAATCCTTATCTTGAATAAGATCAAAAGTCATAGATTGACCGATGGCCACAAGTCGGTTGTTTTTCCATCCTTCTGAAAATTTGCTAGAGTACAACGAGTCCTCGAAAAAAGGAAGAAGAACCTCCCAAGCAAGCAGGGCATATCACACTTCATCAAAATGACGGAGGAAGCCACCAACATTGACCTCCTTTAAAGAACTTGAGAACTTACAAATCATAAATGATCAACATCATAGCTTCCGTCATCGTTTATCAACTGATGGTGATTTAGTGAATGCCTACTTTTCGTATACAATGACAAGCTTTATTGAAATAATTTGGCAAATCTCTGATACTCTGATATGCTCTGGCCTTAGATACATCGAAAGCAATCGAATTTCTCAAGCACCAACATTTTCATTACAAACTGCCATCATACTTCAGGTGTCAGAGAGGTAACCAAACTGATATCAATAACAACAAAACTCAACATTTATCAACGTGGTTAGTTTTTTACATTTCCACTCAGTGGTATAAAAATAAAGCTGTGAAGTTAGTCATTCATCAACTATATTATTAATTTCTGCCTTTTTAACGTCAATTTAGAATTTAACCTAAGAATTAATTTACTCTACAAGCACTTGGTTTGGTTGAGACATTGCTACATTAGAATCAGTCCCCCTGATAGGATCCTCGTGCAAGCAATAAATGTAAGGCAGCAAGTATCTGAAATACTAGGCATTAGTTATAAATATTCTCTAAGTACCTACTCTCTATACCTACTGCTATATTACAAAAACTCAACTGAGATACACTTCTACATGTATTAGTAGAATAAAAGTAGCCAACTAACGTCTTTCATCAGAGGTTCTATTGATGGTATCAAAACCTCTGAAACATGTCTAAAACCAATACTTTTGGAATGTGATAACATTTTCGAAATTCAAGGATGGACTTGTTGAATCCCTCTAAATTCTATTGTTTGATGCTATCCTTCTAGTGAAATAGGTAATTTTTTTCGTGTTCACAAATAATTAGGTAGATATTTCATACTTTCTTGCCGTAGAATTACCTCTTGTGCAACATCTAGCATCAACAGATAAACATTTCCTTGAAATAGTGCCACATTTCTTTATTAAAAACCTTAGCCACTCCACAAATCACCAGAAACGGCTGGTGGATATCTGCCACTATGAAAAGTGGAAAAAAACATAACAAGTTGTAAATTTATTATCCATCTAGGTCTAAAAGAATCAGAAAATCTTTGAGTGGTTCAAATAACCACTGACCTTCATATTAACCACCCGAATGACAGCTGTTAAAATAACCACGCTCTTAGTGAATCGGACCGGAACATCGTTTCCAACTGATGAAGAATAATACTTATTAATTTCGAATACGTAAATACGCGAAGGCTCGTAAAAAGAATATTATTCAAACAAAATTTCATCATCAAGTTGTTTCTATGGATTTTCTTTGCGAGAATAATTCATATTCCTCGTGCGTTTTTAATATCCAGTTTTCTCTCAAACAACGTTTCACAAATTAATGTCTCTGTCAGCAGTTGAGCTCTGAGGGTAAAACCTCATATCTATCATTCTTATTGTTTCCAGAATGTTCAAGGATATGCACTATGAATATGTTTCCGGTAAATCCAAACCTACTCAAAGTTCAATAATTGATTCACTTTGATGATTATGACTTGGTTAGTTGGTGATAACTCACGGATCAATCAATACACTGCCAGAGATGATAAACTCACAAAAATTGTTGATGCGCTGATAATATTCCGAAACAATTCTGTTTCCTATACCTCGT